TCTTGAGAAGCAGAGTCAATGGGGAAGCCAGATTCACTTAACAACCATGTTATTAATTTAGCAACTGCAGTGATTTACTTAACAAATATGGCAAGAAAAGTTGTAAAATGGAGCAAAGCTCACTTAACAAATTTCTCACTTAGCAATATAAATTGTTCATGATCTTCCAGTTCCTAAGCAATGATAAGAAATGATAAGATACCTCTAGGCATTGATCAAGTAATTAATAATTAACCAAGCAGAACATCCTCTAAGTTCCTCTGCTATTTGACACATTGCCTTTAATGATAGGAAATCTGTTTAATTCTCCACGAATCAATTACACAAGTTGCAAATTGGGAATTTCATATTCATATCAACTACTTGCTTTCAACTGGCACATAGAATCCTGACTTTTATGATATCCCATTCTTGGATCTAGAGAAGTTGGGTTTATTTACTTAATTGTATTAATCCATTAGATTTATATCCTTCTTTTCCTCTTGTAGTTGAATGTGACATACATGGCATTCTCTCCTCCAATTTTTCTTTACAATGAACACCTGTGGGGTAAGTTGAACTGAGATACAGTTATAGACCCAAAGTCTTTTTGTGAGTTCTGTAGCTAAAGGTAGGTTTCTTTATATAATGTTATATAGTATATCGTCTATTTTTGTTCTCTGCATTTTGGGTTAATATTTGCCTTAAAACTTCAACTTTGGAAATCTCCAACCAGATCATAAGATCTAGAATAGATTTCTGTAGGGAGTTCTGTGCCAACAGAGGAAGAGAAGGGAGGGAAGCAGGCAGAGATGAAAGTCCTCTAGGGATGTACTGTAGATGTTGGGAAGCAGAGATCTAGCAGCACATTTTTTCACAGTATCAAAGGAGCAGTCAGACAGCTGACACACACCACAAGGCCTGAGTACACCAGAAAATGACCAAAGTGTTACTTTACAAATGATAGTTTAAGACTTATGTCCATCAGCACACTTAATTATGCAACACAGCTATCCTTCTCACTCAGATCCTACACAGTTACAAAATTTCACAACAGTTTCATGACTGCTTCTCACATTCCCAACCTTCCCTCCCCTCCCCTCATGGTGAAATCGTTTTCATCTTGCTTGCAAAGAAATAAAATAGATATTCAGATGGTGCCAAATAATGTAATGGCTTTGAAACCAGTTCAGCAATTTCTAGAATTCAGCTGGAAATCCATTATGTGGACATGTTTATCTTGGCTGTGTTATCTTGATAAAGATTATAGAACTAATACAATAAAGTTGTATAGAAAATAAAGCATTTCGTTTAATATTAGAAAATAAGGAGGTGAACAAAAAAGTAGATTTTTACAATGAAACCATGAAGAGTAAAGTACCTCAGATACTTGAACTGCCTGTTTGTAGATCACCTTCTTATTGTATTGATTTATTAGAATTTTGAATCAGTCTTGCCATCAAAGGCTCACAAATTATAACAGTATTGATTGATTTAGTTAGTAGATCTATATCCTGTTTTTCCTCCATGGGGTCAAGAGGGCATGCACAAAACTTTTTCTTCCAGTCTTCCCTCTTGTTAACTTCCCTCCTAGCAACAATAATACTGTCCTAAAGTCACCAATGAATTTCCATAGCTAAGCATGGATTTTCATTGAGGTCTTGTCCAAAATAATGTGACCATGTATTAATTCTGGGCACATTGTCAAAATGACCTCAGCGTGTGTGTTTTTATGCTCCACTTCCAATGTACATTTTTCCATGTAGTGTCATCTCAAGTGCTTCTGTCTGTTTTGAATAACATGTTTCAATTTGTTGCAAGTTAACCCCAATAATTCATTTCCATAATGAAGAACACCCATTAATAGAGTCAATCCTTAGTAATACTTTTGAAAAATGCCCCTTATAATGACTGCTTGTTGTAATACAATGGTTATAATTCCTGCCTTCCGAATAGAAAATTATTAGTTTGAAATCTGGTTAAAAAAATGATTACTATTTATATTTCTCTGAGCATGCTACTTTTTCCTATGCTTTTTTTCCCCTGAGTCCAAGCGTGTCCTGTTTCACCATTTACCAGTCATCTGTGGTTAAAGCGTTTCACCCTCAACTACCAATTTAAATGGTGCACCATTAGCCTTTAGAAATAGTATAGATTAATTTGTTATTGGCTTCTTCTGGAATGCCCTTAGGGATGCTTTCCCAGTTTGTCTTCTAGCATTTCTTGCTTATCTAACATAGAAATATTAACCAGGATTGACTCTCTTTAACCTTTCAAATCAGGGACCATTTCCGTGGAGAGAGGTTTTTCCACGGATGGGAAGGGGGTGTGGTTTTGCCTACTGCCTGCATCCCATGGATGGGCCTTCTCTTGTTTGCATGGTCCAGTTTCTGGCATGCCATGGCCTGGTGCTGGTCCACAGACTGGGAGTTGGGGACCCTTGTTTTATGGCCTTTATCTTTTAGGAAATTAAAAAAATGAACATATTAAAACTGGGGCAGTGGGATGGCAGATGATATTTCTGTGCTGCAAATTGAGATGACTTCATGCAAAAGATGTAGAACTTTTTCCTCTTTTATAATGGTATCAGAGGAGAATACTGACCCCCCCCCGTGCAATAATTAAAGGTAGAAACATTCTAACACTTTTCTACCATGGCTTCTCACCTTCTTTCTTTCTTGTCCACCCTCCCCATCTCCTCTCTTTCTTGCCCATTTTTTACATAAGTTGAGTGTGGGAGGGGATGAGAGAGAGAAAGAGAGAGAGAGAGGAGATACTAAAAAATTCCTGTTTTGTGGCTCTTTCTCTCAGACTTTCTCTGCTTCAGAAACAGGGAGTGAATATTAATGTTCCATTAACCCTCTCAACCTTGTTTTGAACATTATAGCAGCCTGTAGAAGTTAGCTTACAATGCTGGTTTTGGGGGTTTTTGGAATTGGTTATTATAGTTGCATGACATCCTAACTCTTTACCCTGTGGCCTGCTTAATCATGTCATATGAACAGCATCATTTTGTTTACTTCATAAAGCTGGCTTAATGACTAGAGAAGATGACAGTATTTAATTAGCAGTGAGATGAATAATTTAGGCAAATAATTATTAACAGGAAGGTTATTTTGCTCATTTAATATAACATACTACACATAATACATATTCTTGACAATTTTGGTGATAGCTAGGCATTTTATGAGTATTGCAGAAATTGAATGAATAAAAACTTTATTCTGGCATCTGTAAAACAGGCTACAGCATATAAAAGTGAATGCTTTCTTTAAAACAGCCTTACATATTCCTCTGCTTAGACTATAAATAACTTCACCTATTCTTCTTAATGTCAATTTAACATTTTTTCTTAAGTGCAGCACTGACATCCTTCAGTACAATAAATAAGAGCTCAGTTTTAAACATCTCCCAAGGAATGTTAAGCTAATAGAATATTACTTTGTAAAGGTTTATGCAGCTCTGGAAATCAGCAGTTAAAGGCTATAATTCTATGTTCGGGGGCAGAGAACCCGAGTATGATCTTGGTGTGGCACACAAATGTGGGTCGGACCAACCAAAACTGCTCCCACAGTAGAACTGTTAGCATTATTTCTGGCAACAGACCCCCAAATGAAACTACAACAATGTCTTTGTGCTATACTTTATTCGGCACACACACATACACACCCCAGCCATCTCTCAATATAGATTTATTCTAAGTATGGGAAATAAATTACTGTAGAATAAGTGGGATGTATTCTAGGGAATGAATTAATTAGTAGGCTGTAATCACCTAGCAGGCATCTTTATTCACAAGAAAATCCTGTTCTGTTCACTGGGAATGATCCTTCATTTCAGTCTTTAGTCAATGAATGGCTTGCGTTTCCTAACGTTGAGATAGGTTGCTTAATTAATCATTTCCTGAAATAGTACCTAATCAGCAGCCTATCTTTAAATTGCAACTTCCCTAATCCCACAGGGTTATAATCATCTGGTTATTTTTTTTTTTAACATGGATTGCAGTGAGTAGTATGGATGACTGAAAATTAAGAATGATTGAATATATGCCTATGTAAGAGTATGGTAGAAGCACTGAAGGGGTGGGATCAATAATATCAAAATGCAGTTGTATGGCCACATCTTCCCCCTTTGATATGTGTGCAATGAATACAACACCTGTTGAAAAATGGTAGGACTTGACATGTGTATTTGTGCCTGTCCTTTCAACATCATCGAATGTCACTGTATGCGTTTAGCAAAAAGAAATGAATGAATGCATGAACATGAATATAAAATGCCACATGAGTGTGCCTGAAAGGGTAACCATAAAAGTAAGTCCAAGCCCAAAAGGGGTGTGAAGTTGGACTCGACTACTTCATATATCATGCATTCATTAAAATCCTGGCTTTTGGAAAGGTCAGACGTTCACTAAGTTCACCTGTAGAGATTGAGCTACTGCTCCATTCTTAAAAAGAACAGCCTTTACTCAACGAATTGTCTGAAGGAATGGAAGAAGCAGGACAAGGCAGTAATCAAATGAAATAATGATGTAGTATAAAAAGTGAGCAAATAGTGTAAAAATATATAAAATACAGACCTCATATATAGAAACAATTTTATCAGAATTCTCAGCTAGGTTATATGCTATTTCCTAACATGGGTCAGGATGGGTCAAAGAAAGAAAGAAAGAAAAGAAAAGAAAAGAAAAGAAAGAAAGAAAGAAAGAAAGAAAGAAAGATTACCTCTTTGCCCTGAATAAGATTCATATTATTCATTGTACCTGAATAGAGAAAAATCATATGCTATTATTTTAATTGAAAACTACAATAAGGTAGTGCACAGTAAAGTGATGAGTAAGAAACATATAGCTCTATGTCAAAAATTCTTGCATTCCATAATTTTCAAGCCATGTACATTAATTTAAGGGTCATCTAAATGCAACATTTTCATTTAACAATTGCACCAACATGACTATCACCATCATCTTTTGTAAAAGTAGGAATGGGTAGTCTAATCTTAGCAGATATCCAGACAGTCTCAGTAGAGGTGATTCTAACCTTTCACCATTTATTTATTAGATTCTCAATACTGCAATTTTGCATCAGTAAGGATTGACTTGATTATATGCCATCAGGTTGCTGTTAACTTCAATTTTCTCCATGATGATCTGTCCCTAACCTAGTCTTTCAGATCTTCCAATGGTATATTTATTTCCACTGTAATTGAATCTATTCACCTTCTTGCTAGTTGCTCTCTTTCCTTTTCACTATTCCCAGCATTATAGCCTTTTCCAGAGGGCTAGGTCTTCAGTAAGTGTTCAAAGTAGGATAATTTGGAACTGGTCATTTGTGCCTTGAATGAGAAGTCTGAGTTGATTTGTTTGATCGTCCATTTGTTTTCTGGGTTGTCCATGGTATTCCCAGGAGTCTTCTCCAGCACCCAAGTTCAAAAGCATCGATAGTTTTCCCATCTTGTTTCTTCAAAGTCCACATCAGTAAGAAAGCTTCCAATGAATAACTAATGAGAAAAAGAAAAAGTTTAAATTTCGGTTATATGCCAGCATGAATTATACTTGAACATTTAGCAGTTAGAACATTTAGCAATTCTGTTTGGCAAATGGATATATGTTGAACATTTGAAACTGTCTTTGTAGTACCTAACTTCTAAGAAGCAGAATTGGTGTTTTGCTGATTTTCCTTTCCTTTCCTTTCCTTTCCTTTCCTTTCCTTTCCTTTCCTTTTCCTTTCCTTTCCTTTCCTTTCCTTTTTTCCTTTCCTTTCCTTCCTTTCCTTTCCTTTCCTTTCCTTTCCTTTCCTTTCCTTTCCTTTCCTTTCCTTTCCTTTCCTTTCCTTTCCTGAATAGGGGGGGATTCTCTACCCTAGTTTCTTCTAAGTATCTGTGTGTGCACTGTGAGATGACCCTCTCCATGCTCTACTCAACCTACTTGGACCAATTTGTCAAGAATACTATCAGATAAATATCCGTCATTTGAAACCTTTATAGTGGCAAACGCAAATAAATCAGAGACACATTTTTGCTAAGCACATCAGCAGACAGCTCTAACCTAATGTATTGGCCTTCAGACCTCCAGTGAAGTTGTTTCCCACCCATCCTGTAAGGAGTAAATTCTGGCTAAATGAAACATTTTATAGGGAAACCAATTTAATCTGTAGCACATCTGTCCCATTTAATGAATGTCTAATTGATTAAGTAATTTGTCCACAAAGCAGTTGCATGGTTATTAACTAATTTTCATCTTTATGTTTCTATTTAGTATTCTTTTGCATAATTAATTATTACACTTTCTTTCACTCAACAAATTATTACTATGAATATTGACCTAAAAAGTGTTCCTAAGTATCCTCCTATACAATGAGAAAAAAAATTATCCTTCCAGAATTCTCTTGTAGAAATATATGGTATGTTTGGACCACTATATATTCTCCTTGCTCAAGAGGCACTAAATACTATTTGAAATTTCATTTTATATTAAAGGATGTTTGATGTCTCATTTACATTTGGCAGGTTTTCACTAGTACATTTGACATGCAAATAATATTGATTACATGAAAGTTTGGATAGCTGTACCTAAGAGTATCTGGAAAAGTGTGAAAACTGACATGCAATAGTGCTTAAAAAATGCAGCTAACTTAATAAGCAGATAAAGCTTTTATTGAGATGTGGTAACCTTGGTTATATTGCTGTAGCAGTACCCCTTTACCAGTATAATAAATACTATTGGTAGATCAAGTCTCCATTCTCTGCTGTAGCTCCTATTAGATTAAGGAAACTTCCAATCTGAAAGCCGAGGACAGAGGTTCTCATTGCTGGCATGACATTGGATGATGGGTGTCATGATTCAAAGAGTGAAAAAGGCAGGTACAATTCCAAAACAGTTACATTTTGATTTAATTTTCTCATTCAAAGTTAAGATTTCATCTTTGAATTTCACGTTCTAAATTTGCTCAAACTGGCAATTGAAGCCCGTTTTGAATGTTTGCAATGCTACCTTACCAAGTTGATTATAGTAAAAATTTGTACAGTATAGGTCAGAACGCTTGACCCATTGGAGATCAGGGTATGGATCATTATTTGTTTTCAAATTTCCTTCCCTTCCCCCAGCTTTGGCAGATTTGTTTACTTTTTAGTCTTTTAATGAATGCTTTGCTCTGGTGTATCCAAGGTCTTAATGCCCTGATTCCCTACAGACTCTAAATTCTATCTTAGATTTCTCCCTAGTGGGATCCATATAGAAGCCGACTCAAATACCTAATGGCGCCACAGGAAATTCTCTTGTAATAGATACCCTATGGTGTAAAACCAATATTTTGTTTTTAAAGTGATTTCCTTTTTTTGTTCAGTCTCCCCAACTTGCTTTTTGACCAAGCCAAAACATCAGAAGTCATTATCAGTCCTGAAGAAGAGAGTTTAATATGCTGATTGGTGGCTGACTCACGGATTACTACATAACTTCTCAATTAATTTCTTGTAATCCTTGCTCCATATCACATATTCCAGAGAAAGAGAGCGACCAAAACAATTATGACAGGATTTGAACTTAATCTGATGTGCATTCTTTAAAGATGAATCAAGAGGAGTGTATATTCTTAGCAATTTCACAGGCTATTGCACAGTAAATTTACATGTAACACACAGGAAAAATTGATTTTTTCTTCTTTGTAAGATTCTCTTTCATCGAATTGAATTGAATAACTGGGGGGGAAAACCCTGAAGAAATGGTGAGCATGACTCTAATAAGACATTCTAGAAATGGATACACATTTCACTCCATTTAAGTGATGGATACTATAGGATCTAGGTTGTTTCTAGGCCAGCCAAACAAGTACAGATTATTGTATCCAAACAAAGCATATATATCATGTATATTTCAACACATACCACACATACAGGTAATCCTTGATTTACAATCATAATTGAGCCCAAAATTTATTTTACTAAGCAAGACAGTTGTTAAATGAGTTTTGCCCATTTGATAACCATTTTTGTCACAGTTGTTAAGTGAATCATTAAGCGAACTTGGCTTCCCCCATTGACTTTGGTTGTTGGAAGCCAGCTGGGAAGGTTACAGATGACACAACTCCAGGACGGTGCAATTGTCATAAATGCCTGCCATTGGCCAAGTGTCGAGATTTTGATCATGTAACCATAGCAATGCTGTAATGGTCGTAAGTGTGAAAACTGGTCATAAATAATTTTTTTCAGGGCTGTTGTAACTCTGAGTGGTCATTAAATGAAGTTGTAAGTGGAGGACTACCTTTATGCAAGAATGAGAGAAAACACCAAAACAAACATAAAATATATTATAAAAACACTCACTTCTGCATATCCTCTCAATTAATCCTTTCTTAAAACTTCAGTACAGAATCTTTGTAGTTCAAGAGTTTTTATGGAGGGCTTCATATTTCACAAAATCATGTGCAGTCACCAAAATACATTATATATGTATAAAAATTAATCATCTATGAAATCTATGTAGTTGCTGCCCCACTGTTCAAGATATCACTGCTACTATCTTCTCTAGGAACTATTTTCCTTCCAACGTATAGTGAGATCCAAAGCCGGAGCACACATGCAACCACAAGAAAAGTCAGCAATTAAAGAAATAGATCAGTTCATAAGAAAGGAGCCAATCAGCAGAATGAACTGTTAAAATTGTGATTTATGGAGAAGAATGACTAGTGTCAGGAACAGTCATCAGCCCCCAGCTGATACAATAAGTCAGGAATTTAATATTATATCTTATCTGGCATAAACTTAGTAAATTCCCAGGCTTATACTCGCAGAAATAGATCATATTTTCTACATTGCCAATTGTCTATATGAATACGATCACAATAGCAATAGCACTTAGACTTATAAATTGCTTTACAGTGCTTTATAGCCCTCTCTAAGTGATTTACAGAGTCAGCCTATTGCCCCCAACAATTTGGGTCCTCACAAAGGCTCAGAAAGAACTAAAAGCAGACTGGAGTATGCCAAACATTGATGTCCAACTTCAAAATTGATTGCTTTGGAATGTTGGGTAGCTTGATAACATAAAAAACACCCACCTGATACAAATTCATTGCTCCAGTTCTTGTATTTTATTTTTTTAGAGTTCCTAATGCTGCGAATGAGTCTGGTCTTAAGGCAGAATATAGTGCTGCATAAATTTAGTTAAAGAAAATCTAATTGAATGAATATCTGGATTGAACAACATTGCTTACTCATAATTGCTATGGTTCTAATTCCACCATAGACACATTGAACATAAGGAAAATGTTCAAGAGCTATGTGGTTACAAACATTATTCCACACACTTTATCAAGAGGTTTGCACACTCAAAGCAAAAAGCAAACAAAAAAGAACTCAGTGGTTTCTAGGAAAAGCTAACAATTAAGGCCCTGATCTCTATAGACAGACAAATTTAAAAACCTGTTAATTGCTTCAGCAATCTAAAACATTACTCAGGGCACACACAAATACACACACACACATCTGCCATACAGACAACTTGAAATTAAGTTTAGAGAATAATTAGCTCAGGAAATAAGAGCTGGGCACTAAGATTGTAATTGTCCTATCATACCCTTATTATTTAAAAGTGGAAGGGAGTTGTTTATAATAACCATCTTAGATTACCGAAATGGTGGTTTAGCCATTTATCAGATGTTCATGAGAAACGGGGAAGGCCGGCTGAATCTGCAGGACCCTCTCCCTCTGTTACCCCCTTCTTGTCTTTGGCATGTTCTAGTGGGTGACAGAGCATAGCAATGTGTTGGGCTTGACATTTATCCTGAGAATAAATCACTTTGGATAGCCTTAAAGGGTAAATAATTGAACACAGATTAGTGTTGAAAAGTGAGAAGGAGGAATAAAGTAAGTTCAGCTCAAGGGGCCACCAACATATAAGAGAATCAATATTTCCCCGACTTTGTCCTTTCGCCAATGAGTGCAAACCCTGAACACATTTATTTACTGTAGATACATACAGTATATAATATGAATGTGTGTGTGTGTGTGTGTGTGTGTGTGTATTGCTGACTCAATAAAGAGAATATATATCTTGTAATACAATCTACACCACAAAAAGAAGTATCGCTTTCTAAGGCAATTACAGAGAAGTAAGTTTAGACTGCCTAAAAGCAACCCACACAACTCATCTACCCTTCCCCCATGTTAGGTTACTGTAGGTAATCTGGAGAGTGGCTTGTCACAGATGACAAATTGTGTCAATAGATTTTTTTAAAAGAATGGGTTAATTTGTGACCATTAAAAGCATCTGTAACTGCAAATTGTGGTTCAAGGATGAGATTCAATCCACTGACCCCCTTTCAACATTGTAAAGTTGTATAACTCATTGGGGGCTTCTTCTTCTTCTTCTTTTTTTTTTGCTTTTCCTATAATATCTGAAGTCAAACAGTTGTGCTCTAACAACTTTCAATAGCTGCTTAATCTACAAGGGACACCTAACTTTTTATTCTAAAATTATGTAATATTTATCCGGCTCACTTAAA